GATGGTAGAGTTATATTCACAGTCTCTTTGACCTTCCTGTTTGTGTGTGTATTCTTTCTGTAATAAACATGGATTTTTTTTTGGCCATAAGTAAACAGCAAAAAGGAAAGAGCAGGATGAAAAGAGATGAGAATAAAAATATCAATAACAGAAGCCATTGAGAGGCGACCCAGGAGAAGCCCGCAGCCCGGGCCTGGCTGACCGTGCTGGCCGGGGCTGGCTCAGCACTCCCTGCAGGCTGAGCGAGGCTCGGTGCCTTCCAGGGTAAGGTCTCCCTTCCGCGGCGTTTCCCACGCGTGTGTTGGGGAATTTGTGCTCACAGATTCCCCTGCTTTTCTGCACGTGACTTTTTCTTTCATCATTTTTTTTTTTTTAATTAAAGCGTTTGTGCCCTTTGTTTGAAGGAAACTATAGCTCCCGCCACCTTACAGAGCAGCCTGGCTCCCTTGTTGGGTTGGGTGTGTGGGGACCCCGCCCATCTCTTCTCCACCCAAGGCAGCTCTGAATATGCATCCCACGGGCCGCCTGCTCTTCTCCAGCAGAGAGAGGTCTTCCAAGCACTGACGTGCAGCCGTGAGAGCCACAGCTGCTGTCTGGGCACACCTGGCCGTCAGTCTGCCTACCTCGCTCATCTCTCGGGCTTTGCCCCGTGATTTCTAGGCTCCAGCCACCCTGAGTTCTGTTGCTTTGGAAAAGGAGCATTCCTTTTTATTCCTTGGGGCGGCCACCCAGGCTTCCCTGTGCTTGGGCTGTCCTCTCCTCTTCTCTACCTGACTCCATCGCAAATGCCACCTCCTCTTGGAAGCCCTCCTTGGTGGCTTTTAAGGTCATCATCCCCTCTGCTGTGTTCTAAAGCCCTTTGTCAGGTTTGAGTGTAGTATCTGTGTCGTGAAGACAGAGTGCCTCGGTCTGGTTGAGACTGAAACAGGAAGAGCGGGCTTGGGTTCCTGGGGCAGGGCAGCACTGGACTGATGCTGTGAGCTTTGGGAGTGTGGCCCTGTCACACTCACAGTCACAGCTTTTCGTGCAAGGATGTCATGTGCCATGTGCGTGTGTGTCGGCTCATCCCGCCCACCCCTGCATCCTCTCCAATCCTCTGCAGGCTGTGTTTGTGACTGTGCATGGGAACTGTTAGACAACACAAGCCAGGTGGCAGGAGGACTCTTCATGGTGTGACACAGGAAGTGCCATAGAACCCATTGCCCTTCCTGCTGAGAACGGAGGAGGAATTTAGCTGTTCTCACGGCTCAAGTGCACAGGGAAGATGCACCCACGTGGCAAGTCCGTGGAACATCCAGATGCGAGATATTCAAAGTCACAGGGGCCACACTTCTGGCCAACAGATTCTTAGCAATCTCCTCTTTAGAAGGCGTATGGGGGTGAACCTCTTTAGGGCACGTTACGGATAAAGAAAGAAACTGGAGAGTTCCATATATGGAGGCCAAAAATGACCTCTGAAAAGTTCTAAGGGCCTGGAGTAAGGAGCCATCATCCCAGCATGGAACAGTGTGGTGGAAGAAGGAAGACCCCAGGCCGGCCTGAAACACTTGAAACCCCCCCAGCCACACCTGCTGGCCCCAGCTGACTGCCCGGAGGTGGACGGCTCACTCAAGCTCCACCAGTGGTCCTTCCTCTGGGGCTTTTGGACTTGGATTTGAGGGAGCTCCAGGACAGCCATGGAAATCTCGGAAGCCCTTGGGAGAAGGCTGATTGGCTGTGAGCAAAGGCTGAGGCAGCACGCAGAGAGAAGCAGCTGAGAGACCATGCGGTGACTGCTTTTGGCTCCCGTGGTGGACGTGACCGCTTGTGCCTCTGCTCATCCCGTGGCTTCATTTGGGAAACTGTCTCTCGATCTTCTCCCAGCTGTTCTGTACTCTCTTAGCTGACCTAAGACAAAGCTTGTGCATTTGAACCAAAGACTTGTCAATAATATCGACCGCTGTATCCTGTCTTGCCTAAAATGGTTCTTCATTCTTTTCAGAATTCAAAGGAAAATAGAAGCCCCTACCTGGCTGACAAGATGCCTTGGGGGTTTCAGAGGCCAGGTTATAAAAGGATGTGGCTTCCACCCGACTCTCCCTGCCTCATCCGCCAACTTGTGAGCTTGAGGACACCCCGATGAGGGGAGGGAATGAAGCCCCCAGCAGCTGGCTCCGCCTCCCAGCCACTGAGTGACCCCCTGGGCAGTCCTCCCTCCAAATGCCCACAGCCCAAGGAGCAGATTTATTGCAATGCCACCAGGGACCCTGAACTAGAACCACCCAGGTGAATGGAGTAAGATAATCAGTAGTTATTGCTGTTTAAGCTGCTAAGCTTCAGGATACTTTGTTACGCAGTAGAAGTGCTGGGCACTCAGTAGATAGTTCTGTGGCTATTTGTTGCACGCCCAGGTAGAGGATCCCATGACTAAACTGAACTTGAATGACAGCCTCACTGCCAGTCTCCTCCTGGGCTTGTCCACTGTGCCCTGGCTCTGACACGCGGCGGGCCGTGGTCACGGCAGACCCCGTCGATGGCTCACTGGGAGCCCCCAGAGATCACAGGCTCCAGATAGACTTCCTGTCGCCAGCAGTGCCGGCTAGGGCCACAGCCCCGTGCACTTGGAGGACTGGAAGTCTGCTCTATTCCCCAAAGGATTCGCGCTTCCGTTACCTGCAGGGTCATGCCTTGTCTGCTGCTTCCCTGCCTGCCCCACATCAGCCCCCTTAGGGTCTGGTTTGGGGGAGGCCACCCCAACACCATGTTGTTTCCCAGGCGGAAGTCACGCCCTGAGTAAGCAATTCTTCACTGCGGGAATGAATGAATGAGTGGCACACGGTCTGCCCCTGGGGCGTTCTCCTGCCCTCCCTGCAGGGGGCGCCCACGGGAGAGGTGGGGTGGGGACTGCTCTCTTCCCAGGGTCTGAGCCTTCAGCACAGAGGCTGCTCCTCCCACCTGTGGCCGCCTTGGCTTTGAAGGCGTTGGGCTGGGCCCGCAGCCTTTCAGATAGGGAGGCCCTTTGGGGTTTTCCCGTTGACTCGAGACCTGCGAGGGTGCATTGGGAGCCTCTCTGCAAGGCCCTTTGAGTGCCGAGTGGTGGCCAGGAGGCATTGATTCCTCCCTGGTGAGCGCTGGGTTTGGGGAGGGCACTGTCGCCTCCCTGGTAGGGTCTTGAAGGAGAGAAGGGGCACCGTGCAAGGAGTGACACAGCAGCCTGTGTGGGGCTGGGCTCTGGTCTGGGTGTGGGTGCTCCTGGGAGGCTGGGGAGAGACCAGCTGGCAAAAGGTGGGGCCTCCTCGCCACCCTGCTCCTGGCCGGCATCTGCCCTTTGGTCGGGCCAAATGCTCTGCCCCAGAAAATGACCATGAGGGAGTCCTCCAGGGTTTCCCGGCCATGAGCTTGTTATTGAACCAATCATAGCTCGGAGAGATTTTGTGCATGGTCTAGCTGGGCCTGTCACAGAGGGGGAAACTGAGGCTGGGAGAAGGCAGCTGCCTGCCTGGGGTCTCCTGGGCATGGGTGCAGACCTGGGCTTGGAGGACAGGTGTCTCAACCGCACACTCCCCACCCCGGGGTGCCGGCTCCTTTGCAGTTCCTCAGCTCACTTTGCGTTTCCCATAGGTTGACACCCATCGGGACTAGTATTTACTTAGCCTTTTCCCAAAAAGAATTTTTTGAGCTTGTACCCAGAAGGTTAGCGTAGAAGTCATTACAGAACTATCGATGCCAAGAGTCCTTTCCTGTGTGCCCCCAAAGCGGCCTTGAAGACCATCAGAGATACCCCCCACTGAGGTTTTGGGACTGCAGGATGCCAGCAGAGTGGCAGATGCGTGGATTTCAGCTGTGTTCAGGGATCATCTAGCGTGGGTGGTCTCAGGTGCCATTCCAGTGCTAACCGCTCACGTCCGTCCCTCGAGTCACCCGTCCCCACTTCCTGGTTTCGTTGGGTATAAGCTGAGGTCCCGGGCGTGACCATGAGATGGGAAACGGCCATGAGAGAGCCACAGGCCGTTCTCTGACAATGCTACAGCTGCTGTTTGGGGCCAGTGTGTCCTGTGAGCTGCTCTGGGTCAGGTGACAAGGGATATGCTAGAATATTCTAGAGGCCTCCTCTGTGCCACCAGCTGTTGTCGGGCTGGGGGAAGGGAAGCTGCTCCGGTAGTAGCTGTCAGACTCCTGTGTCCCTCTTCCCCCTCCCCATGGACTTGACAAGACTGCAGTAGGAGAGACTCGGGTTGGACCCCACTGTGAGGTTGTGTCTGACTGCACAGTTGAATGGAAGATGTTAATGTGCACCTAAAAACGAAGCCAAGGACCCTTGTCCATTGAGGGGCTCAGCTAAGGGAGGTGGCAAGCTCCCTGGCTGCCGGGGGACACGTGGCCCTCCTGGGTCCTCCCCTTGCCTGCCACCGGCCAGGAGCCCCGTTACCCTCCTCTGAGGGTTCCTGACTCTTGAGGCCCCAAAGCTACCTCCCCTTTTCAAGCCGGTCCCTAAGGACAGCACTGGAATCTCCGCCCTGGGTGGCCACTGGCTTGGGATAGGGTGTGGGGTTGGCAGATCCTGGGTGAAGCTGTGCAGACTGAACTCCGCTTGTGAGGAGTAGGAAGTGCTGGAATGGACAGGGGTTCTGGGGGGCAGCCGGAGCCAGGCCCTGGTCTCGGGTCCTGGCTTAGCAGCCCTGCAACCCAAGAGACCTTGTCCATCTCTCCTCGTTCGCAGCTGAGTTTCCTCCTCTGCTCAGTTTCGATCCCCGTGTTATTTTACAAAAGTGAGAGCACGGGGCCGCCACGCTGTCTGCGCTGATTCGTGGTGGCCAGCGTCCCTAGGTGTGCTCCTGTTACAGGAACGAGCCCCGGGGCCCCGCACTCTGCAGCTGTCTGAGCCTGAGCGTCCAGCCTGGAAAGCCAGGGTCCTGGAACAACACTGGACGCTGTGTACGGCCAGCACCCAGCACCCAGCACCCGGCATCCCTCTGAGTTTTACAGTCCCCTATGGAAGGAAGGGGTCGGAAGTCACTCACCCTGGGGCTGCTCCTGTGGGGGCTGCACCAGCCTGGAGTCTGCGGCTGCTGCCTGCTCAGGGCCCTCTCCACCTGCGCCTTCCGGCCTGGCCACACCGCTCCTCTCCGCGGGCCACTTGAGGATGGCCTCGATGGAAAAGGACAGGCCCCGCTTCTTCGGGGGCTCCTGGCACTCGGAGCTCTTCCTCTCCATGCCCCTGCAGAGCGCAGCCTGTGCCTGGCCTCCTGTTGGGTTCGCCAAGCACGATTCCCTCTCCACAGGCACTTCCGTGTGCTACTTCCAAACAGCCCCGGGACCACGGAGGCAGACGCAACAGGAGTACATCCTGTGGCCCTGCCGTCAGCTGTCCCCAGCCGGACACGGAGGAGTCATCCTTGCTGGGCTGTGATGGAGGCTTCCGCAGGTGGCTCCTCTCCAAGGCAGGTGCTTTCACAGTCGGCAGCCTAGGCCAGGGTCCCTAAGGCCACCGCCCAGGGGGACAAAGAGAGGAGGGAAGGCCAGCCAGGCGCTGGAAGGAGGCTGTTCAGGCTGAGCCCTCTCTCAGGCTGGCGGCCCCTTCCAGCTGGCTCTGGGAGGCTGCCGTGTTTCCTGGGGGCCCCAGGTGAGCAACTCAGTCCTGGGCCACACTGCAGCTGGCAGGGTCTTCGCGGGAGCCCCACTGGGCTTCCTGTAGGGTTGCTGCCTCCAGATTCTAGGATGCACCTTGTGGAGGGTGTGTGCTTCTGTCCTGCAGGTGCGGGCCGAGCCGAGGGGGCGGTCACGTCACTGCTCAGCCTGGTGTGGGGTCTGAGTCCTTGTGGACGTCTCTGGGCTGGCCCCTGTTCTTGCCCGTTTCTGTTTCGCCTCCGCCTGACCTCACTTCACATTCTGAGTCCTCTCTCCATGAGCGCCTGGGCTGGCGGCGGTGCCTCTCTCTCACTTTGGAGTCCTTTCTGTTTCGTTCCTGTGTGTACGCCCCTTACCTGTCTCCTGAGAACCCGTCCTGCCCAACAGACCGTGGGCTGGGAGCTAACAGTCACGGATGCGACCTTGCCAGGAATTCTGCTCTAGATGACTGTGTAACCAGGGAGGAGGGGCCGTAAACCCGGCTGATAAGGGCAGAGCCTCCCACCGCGAAGGCCGGGATGCAGGTGTCAGGAGGCCGCGGAGCTGCAGGATGGAGGCTCTGGGGAGGGGCTGGGACCGAGCTGCAGAGGCAAGGTGGCGGGGGAGGGTTGGGCCAGGAAGTGCGCCCAGGTGCAATCAAATGTGTTTGCCCAACGAGGAGACTTATGGGTCACGTACAGGCTGGAGGCTGGGCTGGGTGGGACCTGCTGGGTGTCAGCTGTGGCTTTACCAGCTTGCAAATAACAGAGCAGAGGTGTACGTGGAGAACCTGAGGCCCAGGTCCAGGCATGCGGGGGTGGGGAGTGAGGGAGGGGAGGGATGAGATGGCAGGGTCTGATTACATGGTGCCTGGGAAACTTCCGGCCATGCTGGCCATAAGGAACCAATGAGAGTTCTGGACATCCCGGCAGAGGTTGCGAATGTGGATTCGGGTGTGAGCACCCAGACCTTATAGGGTTGGGGGTGGGGAGGATGTGCCAAGATGCCCTGGGATGGGCTTGACACCCCTTGGAATTGTCAGGCTCTCCCATTAGTTAGGCTCGGCTGCAGTGAGTGAACCCCCAAACCGCGGGTGCTTCTTTGCTCACTCACCCATGTCACAGCCCAGGGCAGCGGGGCATTCACTGAGCCGCCCAGTGCCGCCAGCTGGGGGCCCCAGAGGAGGGGAGAGAGCAAAGGGTCAGAAGCGGAAGTGGCTGCAGGACTCTGCTCCTTGGCTGTGCCCAGGGTGTGTGATGACCTTGCCCAGCAGCTAGGGCTGGAGAGAGTGGAGGAAGATGAACCGTTTGCTGCCCTACGTGGTCAGCAGGTGCAGCCCTGCCATGTGCTGGGGAGGGGTGGGAAGATGGCGCAGGTGCATTTGGAGCAGGAGGCAGGGAGAGGCCCTGGTCCAGGGTGGGGCCTCATGGGCGTTGAGAGAAGTCAGAGGGTTTGGTTGCCTGGAGCCATGGCAGCTATGAAGAGGAGGTGGCAGGGCCCAGGAAGGAGGTGCCCTCATATACGGGGATACCCTGGAGGTTGGGTCTACTGGGGAAGCATGGCCCTGGGCAGGTCAAGGGAATACCTGTCCATGGTGCGGTGTGGACCTGGACACTCACACCCGCTCCAGGCTGGCTTTCCCAGGGCCAGCCGCAGCCCTCACCCCGCCGGTGTCAATTCTTAGATCATCCACATGCAGATGGTATTTCTTGAGCACCTACTCAGCACCAAACTGGAGGGAGATGCGGATGAGGGAGACACAGCCCCGCCCTGAGGGACTCACATTCTGAGGCGGGAGGAAGGGCGAGGATGGCACCAACACACGCGTGATGGGAGGTGGAGAGGGGCCAGTGGTCAGGGCGGGATCTTGGTGGGCGGTCAGAGAAGGGGGCATGGTTGTGTAGAAGCTGTGCCCAGGAGGGGGCAGAGCACAGGGAGTTGGGGCTGTCCTATACCAGGGCCCTTTGAAAAGTTCGTGGAAATGTGTATTATGAAGACCTATGCATGGACCTCAAAAACTAGCTTTTCGTTGCATTTTCCACAAACTTTTTGAAATATCCTCGTAACAAGTCTCCTTTCTGAACACTCTAGTTGGATTTACTCAAAAACACCCAAGCATAAACATTGCCAGGGTGGATTTCTTTCTTTTTTTCTTAAGATTTGTTTATTTATTAGAGAGGCAGAGAGAGAGAGAGAGAGAAAGAGAGAGACAGAGAGATCTTCCATCTGCTGGTTCACTCCCCAAATGGCCACAACAGCTGGAGCTGTGCCGATCTGAAGCCAGGAGCCAGGAGCTTCCTCCAGGTCTCCCATGCGGGTGCAGGGACCCAAGGACTTGGGCCATCTTCTACTGCTTTCCCAGGCCACAGCAGAGAGCTGGATCGGAAGTGGAGCAGCCAGGACTCAAACCGGTGCCCATATGGGATGCGGGCACTGCAGGTGGCGGCTTTCCCTGCTACACCACAGCACCGGCCCCTAGGGTGGATTTCTTAGCCCCCTCTGGGGAAGCGACTGGGCTCCAGGGGATTTAAGTAACTTGCCCAGGACCCCACAGCCAGGCTGCAGCAGAGCTGAGGTTCCAAGCTGAGTTCAAATGAGTCATTCTTTCCAGTGTATCCTAGCGACCCTGGGACTCAGAAGAGAGTTGGTGCTGAACCATGCAATAGGTCACATGGGCACCAGAGCAGGAAGCAGGACTTGGAGCAGGGCTGTGGGGGGCAGGCACGACACACTGTTCCTAGTTTCATCGATGGGAGAGACATTCCATTTTCTGAAGGGTACTTAGGAAAGGTAAACTGGCCATCCACTTCCTATGCCTGTGTCCAGTGTTTTCCAAGCAATGATATGCCGGGCAGTGATCTCTGTGCTGGGGTGAAGGTTGTGATCAGGGTAGACCAGATGTCTGCTATCATGGCCCTTGCGTGAACAGATGACAAAGAATGAACAAGTGGCCAATGTGACTTCCTCTGTGACGTTGAACAATACACTGAGGCTCTAGGAGATTTTGAGAGTTTCTCTGAGAACCAGGAATTCTGTTATGAAGAGTAACAGACAGGCTGAATGTAAAAGTCGTACAGAGAAAATACCTGACTGCATACAGCCGAATGCTGGAAAGTCCCCAGCCACAGATTGTAAGCTTGATGGCTGCCTCTTTGTGGTGGGGCTCAAATTCTAATTTTCTTCCCTGTAGGCATTTCCAAGAAGTAGCTCAAGTCTAGTTTCACTTATGTGTGCAAAGCAAGCAAGGTCAAGGCCACTGATGCTATAGCTAAACCGGGACGGGTGCTGGGCCATGGCATGGCTGGGGGCGGGAGGGCACCGCTGGTTTTCCGATTATCCCACGGGGGATGTCTGAACCGGGAGCAGCAGCTCTCTCATCACCTGAATGGCAGGTGGAGGGCGGTGGGCGGCCCCAGGTGCGGTGGGAGTAAGTTTCAGGCTGTAGGGAGTTGGTGTCTGGCAGGGAGTGAGTGGATACCCAGCCTGAGGAAGGGAAGTGGGTGCAGCCCCACGGTGGTCATGGTGTTGAGAGGTAGTGAAGCTTTAAGAGGCGTGGCCTAGCGGGGGGGGGGAGTGACATCATCGGGGGAATCACCCTCGAAAGGGGTTGCTGTCTGGATAGGTCACTATGAGAGTTATGGAGTGAGCTCCGCTGTGTCTGCTCCCCTCCCCTCTCCTACCCTCCTCTACCCTCCCCTCCTCCCCTCCCCTCTTCCCTTCTCCTTCCCTCCCCCTCCCCTCCTCTTCCCTCCCCTCCTCTCCCCTCCTCCCCTCCCCCTTCCCTTCTCCTTCCCTCCCCCTCCCCCTGCCCTCACCTTCCCCTCTCCTCCCCTCCCCCCCTCCACTCCACACGATGCCATCCACCATGCACGATGCAGCCAGAAAGCCCTCACCAGAGGCCAAACAGATGGGGCTGCCCAGTCCTTGACTTTCAGCCTCCAGAACTGGGAGCTAAATCAACCTCTTTTCTTTATAAAGTGCCCTACCTCAGAGATTTTGTTACAGCAACACGTATGAGCTAGCACAGGGAACAACCTACCCGATCCACCTAGGATATATAAATATGAATCATTTCAACTTGTAATCAGTGTATGATTATGAATGCATTAGCTTGCACTCCTGTTTTCCAGCTGATGTGTATTTGATTACAGTTAAATGTTTTATTTATTTATTTGAAAGAGGGAGAGAGCGAGCAAGCTTTTGTCTGCTGGCTCATTCTCCAAATGCCAGCAACAGCTGCGGCTGGGGCGGGGGTCAGGCCAAAGCCAGGAGCAGGGAACTCAGTCTGGGTTTTCCTGGTGAGTGGCAGGGATCTAAGGACTTGAACCATCACCTGCTACCTGTAGGAAGTTGGAACTGGAGGACTTGAACCAAGGCACTGGGCTATGGGATACAGGTGTCCCTGTTGGAGGCTTAGCTGCTGCACCAAACTCCCACCTCGGGGTGTCTTTTACACCTAAGCACAGCCCGCATTTGAGTTGTCCGATAGCTCTGCTCTTCTCAACTCTCCAGAGGTGTGAGAGCTTGTCTTGACGACCCCAAAGGATAGACTAGCCGGCCACACGAGGTTTTCCCCAAAGGACAGACCCATTGATTTACTTGCTAGCTCCCGCCAATGCATCTGCCAATTTTCCTCTTTGCGAGATTGCCCACCCGAGCTCTCTCGGGCTGCTGTTTTGTACAAGGAGTTCCTGGGTTTTTGGCACACTTATTCCAGATGAGTGACCTTTTTCTACATACCGCTCATGCAAAAAATTGTCAGGCACTAAGAATTACAGCAGCAAGGACTGCTTTTGGTCTTTCCCTCAGTGGAGAGAAACGAATTGTGTGAAGAGAAACCAATTACAGGAGCTCTGCGTTCATTCCTGTCCGTGCAGAACGTGTATCTGAACCCGGCCTGGGGGC